CGGCTCCAGGGTCTCCCCCAAGTGCACATCTCCCAGGGCCTCAGGCAGCAGATCTTGGAGTTGGGTTGGAAGATTGGGGGTGGGTATAGGAGCAGGGTGAGTCAGGAGCGGCAGCCCTCCAGGCCTTTGAACTCATCACTGGCAGGTGTGGGACTCGCAGCCTCTCCCCATCGGCAGCACTTACTGGTCCTGTCCAGCCTTGGAAGTACGGACCAATGAGCGGCATCCAGCAGTCAGAATCTGGTCAGTCCGAGTCAGTTCCTGGTCCAGTCAGCCGTGGGATGGGGCACAGCCACCAGTCCAGCCTTGTGCCTGGGGGCACATCTTGGGCTAGACCGTCCCCAGAGTGGCAGCTGCCTTGCTCCTAGGGAGTAAGCTGCAGAGCCCTAGGCCACGGTTCAAGGCCTGCTGGAACACCAGTCCCATATTCCCTTGTCCAGGGGGCATCCCCGTGATCTGGGTGCTGGGAGCCACTGTGGGAGCAGAGAGGGCAGCAGGCCACTGGGGACTCAGGAGGAGTGGCAACTGGACTGACCATGTGGCTCTCCCAGTCAGCATTTTCCCTCAGGGCCATGCTGGTGACCCAGGTCTTTGGGCACTGTGTCAATGAGTGTGTCTGGAGCCAGAATCAGCTGCATAATTTGCAGGCCCCCAAGTAAAACAAAAATGCAGTCTCCTGTTAAAAAGTTATTAAGAACTTCCAGAAGGGGGCGCCTGGGTGGCTCAGTGGGTTAAGCATCTGCCTTTCCATCAGGTCCCCATCCCACGATGGGATCTAGCCGAGCATCAGGCTCTCTGCTTAACGGGGAGCCTGCTTCCCCCTCTCCCTCTGCCTCCCCCTCCCCGCCCCTGCACTTGCACACATGTGCACTCTCTAATAAATAAAATCTTTTTTAAAAAGAATTTCCAGGAGACACTAAAGCATTAAACCCAGTATGGGGCGCCTGGCTGGCTCAGTTAGTGGAGCATGTGACTCTTGATCTCAGGATTGTGAGTTAGAGCCCCACATTGGGGGTAGAGTTTACTTAATTAAAAAAAACCAAAACAACAGCAACAACAAAACCTAGTATGGGCCCTTCTGAGCTTGGGGTCCTGCATGACTGCCCAGGTCACGTGCTATGAGTCTGGTCCTGCCTGGAACCATGGCTCAGTCACTCTCTGATCAGCTCCCGATCCCAAAGCTGGCCAAACTCAGTGGGTGCACAGACACCCCTGCCTTTCTCAGGAAAGATCGAGGAGCTGCTGGAACTGCTTTAGGCAGTCCCGGGGAGCAATTATTACTCATGGCACAAGTGTAGGGTCTCCTTGCCCCTCAGAAGATAAGGCCCAAGTTATCCCCAGACTGAGAGTTTCCTGCTTTTACCAGGGGACGGGCTGGAGAGGGTGAGCAGGGCAGTGATGGGCTTGGGACGGGTTGAGGAACAATGTTATGGTGGAAGGGGAGGAGTGGGAGGTGTAGGCCATGGGGCTAGGCTAGCTGGGTAAGTGGCTTTTGCCTGAGCTAGACCTGGGGTGCTGTCAACTTTGAAGGGTTAGAAAGACATGCCAGTCCCTCGGGCTCTGGGGGGATGCTCAGATCTGTCAGTGCTTCAGGTTGGGGACTCAGTTTCATCTAGGAAGGCAAAGTTCCTGCCCTCCTGGAGCTGACAAACTTAAGAGGGACAAACACTGAAGAGCTAACTTGTATACTGCCAAAGTGGCAGGGAGGGGGGATGGGGTCCCCCTAGCTAGGGGATCAGGGAAGACCTTTCCAAGGATGCAGTATTTGAGCTGATAAGGAGCTGGGGGCCATGCGGAGCTCTGGAGAAGAGCACCTGCGCAGGGGGATGGGAAGTGTAAAGGGTGTGATATAGGAACAAACTTTTGGCTGGCAGGAGAGGAGAGCATTGGAAACACATTGTGACTGCAAGCAGGATCTCTTTGCGCATCCTCCACTTGTTCCTTAAAAAGAACACCCCCCCATGTTTAACTAGGCATATTGTCCCACAGAATAAAGACTGCATTGCCCAGCCTCCATTACAAATAGATATATGTGGTCTTGAGACTAATTCCTGGCCAATGTGATATAAGAATCGGTATGTATAATTTCCAAACATGTCCTGAAAGGGAGGGGTTTGCCTATCTTTGCCAGTTCCTTTTTTTTCCCTCTGGCCTAGAACGCACCCACAATGACTGGAGCTCAAGCAACCATCTTGGACCATGAGGTAGAATGAATGAGTTGAGGAGGGCACAACAACAAGATAGAATTGTAGAGCTTGAAGACTGCAGCTGCCCTGCCAACTCTGGATGGCTTTTCAACTCTTTGCAAAAGAGAAAAACTTCTATGGTTTATGCTATTGTTATTTGGAGTTTTCTAACGCTTGTAGCCAAGCCCCTGATTCTAATTAAAAAAAAAAAAAAAGATTGTTAGCTTCAAGGGGTGGTGGGTGGGTGGAGATTTGGAAGCTTCAAGGAAAAAGAAAAGGCAAGGTGTGAAGTAGTCTTCCCAGAGAATGAAAGACAAACTGGATAAAGAAAGTGTAGTAAGATTTTCTGGCTGCATAGAGAGCCCACTTTTAGATGTGTGTTGTAAATTTTTTAAAATTAAAAAAAAATTTAAAGCCCAACTCAGGGCTCGATCCCAGGACCCTGAGATCATGACCCAAGCCAAAGGCAGACACTTAACCGACTGAGCTACCCAGATGCCCCGTGTGTTGTAAATTTAAAGAACGAGTGAGTGTGGTTTTATGTTTTTCTCTAGCAAAGTTTTGCTGCTCGGATGCAGGGATGGAGTAGGAAGACAGTTTGGTCTAACAAGGGTTGGGAATTAGTAAGGACAATATTATAAGAGTGTGGGGTTCGGGGAAGTGATTATAATTTTGGACTATGGGACTTGAGCTGGGAAGGCAGAGTGTGAGGACAGGAGTTGAGAGGCAAAGAACAAGGAGCTTCAGTTCTCTATTGATATATAACCAACCACCCTAAACTTAAGGGCTTAAAACAGCAAATACTTACTCATTGTTTTGTGGGCTGGCTGGGCTCAGCTGGGTGGCTCCTGTCCACACATGTAGCTGGTGTCGCTCATGTGGCTGCATCAGCTGGGAGCTCAGCTGGGGCCAGATGTCCAAGTTAACGCCCATCCTCCAGGGCCTCTTTTCAAGTGGTGTCTCGTCTTTCAGGAGACTATTTTGCTACTGGTTTCCAAGAAGACTAGCCCCAGTGGGCCACAATCCCATTAAGCCTCTGTATGCATCATTCATGCTAATGTCCTAGTGGCCAAGCAAGTCACATGTCCAAGCCCAGAGTCAGTGTGGAAAGGGTCTACCAAGTACATGAAAACCAGGAGTTTTATAGGGGGTCATGAATGTAGGCAGTCCACCACCGTCCACCCTCTGGCCTCTCCCAAGGCCGCCAATATCCCATCACAGCACCCAGCTCAGACCTCAAGTCCAGGATCTTGCATCTAAGTCAGGTCCAGGTGCAAATGAGGTTGCTCAGGTATCCTTCTTTGGGTGCAACCCAGCTGTGTGGGTCCTCAGTGCAGAGACCCATGAACTAAAAAAAAAAAAAACAAAACAAGTTCTTGGGGCACCTGGGTGGCTCAGTTGTTAAGCGTCTGCCTTCGGCTCAGGTCATGATCCCAGGGTCCTGGGATTGAGTCCCGCATCGGGCTCCCTGCTCTGCGGGAAACCTGCTTCTCCCTCTCCCACTCCCCCTGCTTGTGTTCCCTCTCTCGCTGTGTTTCTCTCTGTCAAATAAATAAACAAAATCTTTAAAAATAAATAAACAAGTTCTCTTTCCCTACAGACACAATGTACATTAATGAGACAGGGACAGAATATCTTCAATAGACACTTCTATTAAAATATGGGAGAAGCCTCGAGTGTGGGCTGGATCTAGGGACTTGCATCCAAACAGTAGAGTATGGAAAAGGACAAATAATAACTTTACAGTAGAAGAACCTGGCAGACACCGCCCTAAGCGAGTAATCAAGGTCAGCATCACCGGTGATAAGTCCTGCTGACATCATGTCTCTCTGCTGTGATGCAATGAGACCACATCAGGGGCGCCTGCGGAGCTCAGGTTGTCGGGCGTCTGTCTTCTGCTCAGGTCATGACCCCAGGTCCTGGGATCGAGTCCCACGTCAGGCTCCAAGCTCAGCGGGGAACCTGCTTGTTGCTCTCCCTCCACCTCTCCCCTTGCTTGTGCTCTCTCTCTCTCAAAGGAATAAATAAAATCTTAAAAAAGAGAGAGAGAGAAGACCACATCACCTCTGAGGTCTCCTCCCCAAACCCAGAACTTCAGGCTAATCACAAGAGAACATCAGACAAACCTCAGTTTCTACAAAAGTGACCAGTACTCCCCAAAACTGTCAAGGTCATGAAAAAGAAGGAAAGACAAAAATTGTCAGACCACAGGAGACTAAGGAGACTAAATGCAATGTGGTCCCTTGAATTGGTTGCTGAAACAAAGAAAATGTCAGTTAAAAAAAGTGAACTCCAAATAAAGCCTGGAGTTGAGTTAATAGTAACGTACCAGTGCAGGCTTCTCGGTTGTGACAGACGTACCATAGAAATCTAAGGTACTGACATTAGGGGAAGATGAGGGAAGAGCGTCCAGGAAGTCTCTGTATTATATCTGCAACTTTTCTGTTAATCTAAATTTATTCTAAAGTAAAATGTTTTCTAAGAAAAATTTTATTTATTTATTTGACAGAAACACAGCGAGAGAGGTAACACAAGCAGGGGGAGTGGGAGAGGGAGAAGCAGGCTTCCCGCGGAGCAGGGACACCGATGCGGGGCTCGATCCCAGGACCCTGGGATCATGACCTGAGCCGAAGGCAGAGGCTTAACGACTGAGCCACCCAGGCACCCCTCAGAGAATTTCTTACTCTGAGTAGCTTTTGCAAGCTGGAGAGACTGGGAATGAAAAAAATGTTTTACTTTTCAACCCAGTAAGTCCTAGACTGGAAATATTTTCTCCAAATTCTTCTTGAAAACTAAACAGTTCTCTCTTTAGCTCATTCATCACTTGTCATATCATTCATTGTGAAAAGAAGCCAACTGTCCCCGATTTCCTAGGGCTGCTGGGTGGGTTAGAATGACAGCACTTTATTTTCTCACAGTGCTGGAGACCACAAGTCTGAAATCAAGGTGTTGGCAAGGTTCATTCCTTCTGGAGTGTCTGAGGGAGAGTCTGCTCCAGGCCCCTCTTCCAGCTTCTGGTGGTGTCAGAGGTCTTTTGTGCCCCTTGGCTGACCTGCCTCTGTTCTCACGCATCTCTATGTCTTCATAGGATGCTCTTCTGTCTTGCGTGTGTGTTTCTTCTCCTTGTAAAAGCACCTATTGAATTAAAGGTCCAGCCTACTCCAGTGATGGCTTCCTCTTAACTAATTACATCTGCAGTGACCTTATTCCCAAATAGCAGCACATTCTGAAACACTGGGGGTTAGGGCTTTGATAGATTTTTTTTTTTTGCAGGGACAGGTGTGTCACACTTTAGTAGTGCTGGGATAGGTCAGGCTACGACTTCCGTTCGAGGCCCTTGTGGTGGGAAGTGGGGACAGACTCTAAGGGTGTATATGAGGTCAGAAGAGGGAATAGTCCCTGGATCTCTTCAAAGAGAGCAAGTTCTCATTGGAGGGCAGCTCTTTTGGTGGTCCAGGTTAGGGGTTCTGGAAATTAAAGATGTTCAGGGACCCCCACCCAGCTGTCCTCAGCCCATACGTCAGGGTCTCATTCATTCTCAACCAGGACCTGGTCCTGGCACAGCTTTTGCCATAAGTTTAACGGTCTTTGAAATGACCCTCCCGGTCCCTGGGAACATTCTTTATTTAGAGATCTACTTTGTCTAATGTAAACATAGCCACCCCAGCCTTCTTTAGTGTTTATGTGGTATATCTTCTCCCATCCTCTTGTTTTAACCTATTTTTATATTTAAGATGGGCTTGTTGTAGACAGTATATAATTGGGCCCTGCTTTTTTATACCACCTGACACCCTCTACCTTGTAGTTGGGGTGCTTAGATCACTTACATTGAACATGATTAGTGACATGCTTGGGTTTGGATCTACCATCTTGCTGTGTGCTTTCTATGTGTCCCAACTGTACCTGTTTTCCTTTTCCTTTTCTGCCTTCTTTTGGATTTGTTGAAAATTTTGTATGATTTATTTTCTTTGTTGGCTTATTAGCTATAACTTGTGCTATTTTAATTTCTTTACTCTTTTTTTTTTTAAAGATTTCATTTATTTATTTGACAGAAAGAGAAAGCAAGTGAGA